TGTGCCCAGCCTCCCTCTGGCACTGTCCCAGCCACACCATGCCCCAGGCCTGCACCTCTCTAATTAAATTGCCCAAATACGACAAGGCACGGAGCGCTTGGCTCCCTCTGCTCGCAGGCTGCTCCCCGCTCCGAGGAAGGAGCTGTGAGGGCAGATGGATGCGCCATCACACCCTGGGGCTCTCCATCTGCTGCCGAGCTGTGCTTGCCTGGGGCTCGGCACATCCAGGATGGTCAGGAGGCTTCCCGAGAGCCAGGGCATCCCCTAACGGGGCTGAGCAACAGCCCTGCAACAGCACACACACACAACAACCGGTCACCATGTGCCCAACATCCAGATCCCCAATGGTTCCCAGGCAGCAGTTTGGTTTCCAGCCCCGAGACCACTTCTCACCCCGTGGCCGGGGTCCCTGCCTGGCCTCATCCCCCGTCCTCTGCCTCCAGCACGCGACTGCCCAAATTCTGCCAACTGTTACTCTCCTCCGGTCAGGCAGCCTCCATCATGGGCAAAGGGGCAAACTGGCCCCACTGGCACTGGGGAGAGGGAGCAGGGCTTCTGCTGGCACTGCAGAGACCATCCCTGGGGCAGCTCTGGCTGCAAACACACCTGCCCTCGGCGTGGGGACAGAAACACACACACCTCACCCCACGTGGGGACAAGGACGAGCGTGGAGCCTCTGCTCCTGCTCCCTGACCTGGGGCAGGACCTGGGCCACCGTCCCAGGCAGGCGGAGGTCCCGTATGTGGCGGTCAGAGCTTTGTTCCCACTTTCTGCAAGTGGTATTTCCACCGGGACACTGCCAGCTCATCGGAGAGCTGAGCAACGTAGCTGAGGACAACCCGGGAGCAGGACTTGCTCACCTGGAACAGGCTGGAAGGCATCCAGGCTTCTACCTCCCTTTATCTGCTGGGGGGTGAGTGGGCTGGCTGACCTGCCAAGGCGGATTCAGGATGCGTAAAACACAGCTGGGGTGCTGGAAAGGCAGCGAAGAGCACCTGCGGGGAGCAATGGGGGGCCTGCTGGCACTGGCCCCTCTCCCTGCAGCGATGTCCCCCCGGGGAGCCCCTCTGCTTGGCCGGGACCGGCGGTGCTTCAGGAGGAGTCGGGGGAGCCCAGCGCCCGTGGTGACCCCAGCCCCTGCCTCTCCCAGGCTGCAGGTCGCTGCCCTGCGGGGCACAAACACACTCTATTTCCTCTCCGATAAACTCTCACTCACGCTAAATAAAACCTTTCCCAGTCTCTGTCTGAGAAGGTCCTGGGCTGCCCGGCTCTGCCCACGGGCACAGGAGCGCAGGGTGTGGACCAGCAGCAGCTCAGGGGAAATCCCGCAGATCAGCTCCGGATGCGCAGGTGAGGCCAGAGCTGCGACCCCAGGCAAAGCAAAACCGCGTCAGAACAGACTCCCGTGCCTAAACCCTCTTGGCCATCACCATTACCAACTGGTAATCTGAGTTACCTCGGATTCAGGTAAATCATGAAACAAATGCAGAATGCCTAACGGCAAGAACTAAACCACTTCCCAGCTCCCAGCACCCGAAGCCCCGCAGGTTGCCACCCTGCATGCCGCTGCCACCAGGGTCTCTGCAGAGAAGAGCGTTTCTCTGCCACGCTCCCCAGCCCCATCCTGGGACGAGCAGAGGACGTGTTCATTATTTCTGCGCTGGTTTCACACAGTGCTCCCACACCCGATGTCCCCGAGGGCCCTGCGGGGCAGGACACAGGGCAGATGAGGGGGGTCCTCGTGCCCAGCCCCACACACACGCCGCAGGCCAGGAGCAGCAAACCCTTGGTCGGAGCAGGGCAATACCCCAGCACCGTGCCTTGGGCTCTCTATCCATGGCGCTGCTCCCAGACAGGACCCTGTCCCCAGGCTCGCTTCGGCACCCGAGCAGCCCATACCCACCGCCACCGTGCTCCCCCACCGCGCACCGGCACCTGCCGTTAGACGTACCCTGAACCCAACGGCTCTGGCGACGGCGGCTTTTC